TAATAAAGACCGTGCCAGGCATGGAAACCCTCCTTTTGAGTTGGTCCAAGAGACCCCATAAACAACATAGGCCATTGCCACCATCCTTGGTACTTCCCACAGCCCATTGCTGAAGACATCCCACACTTAGCACCCAGGGTATGGAGGAGCTGAGCTGGACCAGGAGAACTGACTATAGCTGTTTCCTAACCCCATGCATCCCCTAAGGGCATGCTAATGCTTACTCTTACATCCAGAGACCAGCTCAGCTCTCACTCTCAAAGAGAGTTTGTTCTGAGCCATCACTACAGAAAGCCACAAAGGGCCAGGCACAGGGACCAATGGAGCATGGGAGGCCTGCTCCCAATTAATACATTTACAACACAAGTCCTACATTTGAGGCCCAGGGGACATCACAGAAGAGGGGGCAGGAGGGTCATAGAAGCCAGAGGACCAGGACACTTACTGCAAGATAGTCTCCTCCAAAGGAGGAAGATATGACATGGACCGTGTGTGTGTGTGTGTGTGTGTGTGTGTGTGTGTGTGTGTGTGTATGTGTGTGTGTGTAGGTGGAGAGTAATGGTTCTGGAGGAAATTGGGGGGGGGGATGTGGAGACCAGGGGTGAAAAGGATCAGGATACATTGTAAAAATAAAAATACAATATTATTTATATAAAATGCTAATTGTCTACTATGTGGCAAACTTGTTCATACTTTTGTAATATGTGAAATAATTTAAAGTGACATAGAAACTGATAACTTCCAATACGTGCACTATACGAAATCCTAAAAAACAAGCCATGGAGGTTAATATTTAGTAGGTATGTATTGAGGTAACCTGTAACCAGTAGAAAGATAGAAATACACTATATTATATCAAGGTTGTGGTTTTTTACATAAACAGTATAGACACTGAAAAACTATGATAAAATTTGTCTGTACTTTCAGACTTACTCAACAAGATTTTAAGTGCTCCCAATGTTTTCTAAAGTCACAAAATGAATTTATGTTTAAGTTTTTTTACATTTATAAAAAGCTAGGAAAATATAAAACTCCAACCATGATTTGGATTTCACTCTTGGAAACAGCACAGAAATAGATACTAGATTAACTGCTTTTTATAATTGCTCTGGTCATTAAAAAAAAAAAAAAAAGACAAGGACCTCAAATATATTCACATTGCATCAAAGTATGAAACTGGTTTGTGTGACCTGTAGAATTTGACTTTAATAATTGACGGCTTCTATTACTTCAGAATTATTAACTACAAGTCAAGCCTTTCTGAAGCAAACATCTAGGAGCAATACAATGAAAACATTTAAAATAACCTAAGATTTCAAACTCTTTTATGGGTTTTATATATGCAGTTTCCAACATGGATCAAATAAACAAAATGCATTCAGAATACGACAAAAGGAAACAGAGACTATGGTTTATATATGTAATTTTAATACTTGAGAAAAATAAGTTAAGTTGTATACAAATATTGCTGGCACACAAACAAGCACACACACACACACACACACACACAAAACCAGAATATACACAAATCCAAACTCACATAGAGTTGGTATGAAACTTGGATATAAGAGTACATAACCTTTATTAGCTCCTTTTAAGGAAGTAACAGATTTTAAATTAGACAGACATGAAATGATTGCAGAAGAAATTATTATCTTCAAACTGTTCCTTTAGCTATTAAGAACTACAAAATCGGGCAGAATATGGTGGCTCAAATCTGCAAACCCACTCAGGAGGCTGAGGCAGGAGGATTGCTGTGAGCCCAAGGCCAGTCTGAGCTACAAAGATAATGCCAAACAAGCCACAGCTATATAGGGAGACCTTATCTCAGAAAAACAAAACAATAAAAAATATAATGTGAACAACACTTCAAGATCACTAATTGCTCCAAGCATTCTGAAGGGACACTCTACAAACACCTCGCTTAATTACTTGAGGGCCAATGTAAAACTAATCATTTCACTTTCCTGTTAAGTTTTATATAATTAACACATTCATAAATCATAGCAAAGAAATATAAAAGCTATTTTTAATGAAACTACAGGTACTTCCAGGTGCTTAAGCATTTTATGCTTAATATTTGTTTTATTAAATATTAAGCATAAACATACCTTATGTAATGTCACACTACTATTGAGAAGAAATGAATACATCTGCAATATAATTTTTTAATTGTGGCAGAGATTCATCAGCTCTTTTGAAAATTTCAAAATATATTTGAAGGAATTTAACTTTTTTTTTAAATTGGGAGGGAAAGGTTTTTTAGATTCAATTGTTTGTTTATTGCATATATTTTATCTGCATGTATGTATATGTACTATACATGCCCGGTACCTGTGTAGACCAGAAGAGGGCACTGGACACCCTAAAACGGGAGGTCTGGATGGCTGTGAGCCACCGTGTGGGTGCTAGAAACCAAACTCAGACCCTCTGAAAAAATAGCAAGTGTTCTTAATTGCTGAGCCATCTCTCCAGCCTCATGGAATTTAATTTCTTATTCACAAAAAACATATGTTTGGAAAAGACAAGCTACACAGAAAAAGAAATTCATCCTATATGACTAGAGCTGGGAAAATTCCCTTCTGCTGAAGAAGAGACTAATACAATTCTCCAAATAAAAAATTCTAAAGTTAATTCTAGAATTTGTGCCAGGTTCCTGGAGAATATCTTTACTCTTGATTACTCAACACAAAGATAAGGTTTATAAAATTATAATATCTACTGAGTCACAAACTAGTTCTGTCTATACCATTCACAATTTTCTTTTAATTCCCAGAAGTTACAGATATGCAAATGTTTATGGTCCTCTAGATGAGGGAATAAGCTCTATAAAGGTACAGTTAGACATTCCTGATTACTAGAAATGTCCCTACACTCTTACATACTGGAGGTCTTTCAAAGACATAAATACAACCATTGTCAATGCGCAGAACAGGAGAGGTAAACCAAGTCCTTCCTGTTGTAATCTATCCTGAGTAGATGTTAGATTTTAAGCATAACCCCTGGGTAAAAATCACTGACTTTGCTGTACATCTATAAAACGGCAGCAGCCCCTAAGAAGCTTAGCACTTCGGACAAAGCATTTAGCTTTGCTTTAGGAACTGTATTTGAAGGGGCTGGAGATGAAGCTCAGGGGCAATGCTCATCTAGCATGTGAGATGTCCCAGAATGGATCCTCACCATCACAAAGCAAATACGGGAAGAGAAAGAGGACGGATGGGAAGGAGGTAAAAAATGGAGAGCACTGTAGTTATGACACTTCCCCCCTTGAGACATGTCTCCAGGACACAGCTGAGATGACCTGAATTTTCTGATCCCCCTGCCTTGATCTCCCAAGCACTGGAATTACAAGCATGTGCCACTGTTATCTGTTTTGTTTTTCCTAAAACTTATATGACAATTGGTAATACCATAAAGTAACTTAAAACCCTTAAAACTTCCCAAAGTACATTAATGACCTTTAAATAGTGATAGACCCATACATAAATTATTTACAAGTATCCCTGCGGGTGGAAGGAGTTTGTGCTGTCATTACATCATCTAGATGTTCCTGAAGAGAATCTGCCTACAGAACAGATGGTACCACATACAATCTGTCTGCTGGACACTGGAAAATAAGTACAATATGGCTTTATTGATGAAGATTAACATAATTTGGAGACTCTAATTAAAACTGATAGTGTGCTATCAAAATACAAGTCGCTTGATAGAATGTGTACACAATATCACTCTTAGGCCCTATTAATACCATCTTAATTGTATACGTGTGCAAATGCATGTGGTATACATGCATGCATGTGATAGCATGTGTTTAGTTAGTGTGCAGCATGTGAACATTCATGTGTGTGTACATGTGTACAGTACATATGTATGTGTATGTACATGGAGAGACCAGAAGTTGACATTGGGTGTCTTCCCTCATTATTTACTACTCTATTTAATGAGGCAGCATCTCTTATACAAGCAGGAGCATGTCAGTTTGGCTAGTCTAGCCAGCCAGCATGCTGGGACTACAGGTAGGACATCATGCCTACCGTTTCTATGTAGGTGTTGGGGATCCAAACTCCAATCCACAATCCTGCCACCTCTCCAGTTCCTATCATCTTAGTTTCAAGATGGTTAAAACCTAATTCAGGTATCAGAACACATCTCCATGTAAAAATACTTGTCTGTACACATAGGAAATACCTATTCATTTAAAATATTTTAATACGCTAAAAGCTATTAAATCTGTTTCCCTGTCATACTGTGGATTCCATTTAAAATGTAAGGTACAAAGTGTGTAGGTTGTTATATTAAAAAAAAAAAAAAAAACCTTAACTTTTTATAAAATCTCAGGTTATAGTCCAATAAGTTAACTTACTTGGTTGGGTTTTCTTTTTTACCAAAATTTTTTTATTATAAAATGCTACTAATATAAATAAAAGCCCAATTTTAATAAAAAACAGTTCCTTCTGATATGAAAATGTTAAGAATTAAATAATAAGAAATCCATATAATCCAGAATGTCAAACCAAGCAGCAGCAGTCATTGGTCCTTAAGGTTGGTGGACCAGGATTCTTGATCAGAAAATTAACTTAGTTGCCTTTGTAGCAAACTTCAAACCGTTGCTGGGGTTCACTATGTACTACAGGCAGGTGTCCTACCTCAGCCTTCAGAGCTAAGATTACAGGCACCCACTAATGCCAAGCAAACCAATGCTTTACGACTGAAAGAGTAACTAGTGTTAAGAGCATCCAAGTTGCTATTAGCAGACAATCTCCATAGTTAATACCTATTCAAAGATACACCGAGTATTGTTACAGTTCTAGTAGTGTTGGACTTTTGCATTCCCCTTAGACAGCAGACATTAACAAGATGGTAGAGATCAAAGCTCATGCATTAGCCTATTAATACACAAAATGTGAGTGAGTCCTCTGCTCAACCCAGCCCCTCACGTCTGTGGCTGCCCTGACAAACACACATCGGAAGACCTTCTGCAATCCTGGTGGCGTTGACCCCCATTCTGATCAGCCACCTGGGTTTGTTAAGATGATACAAGTGTGTTTACTTTTTAAGCTTCTTACTTCCAGTCATAACAAAATAATGATCATCGCCTTCCTTTTTCTTAGCAGCAGGGTTTTTCTCTCCACTCGCTGCCCCCTTAGCAGATGAGGGTGGTTTCCTGGTGGAAGCTGGTGGCATGCCACTTTTGGGAGGCCCTTTAGCTGAATACTGGCCCTTCATGGCAGTCTGTGCTAACTTTGAGCCAGTTTCTGTCTTGGCAGCAGATTGGGGGACGCTCACAATGGACAGTGGGGTGCGGCCAGGAGACTTGGGAGAGCCAGGTGCTGTCTTCCGGCTGGCAGCCTTAGTCTGTGTTTGTTCTCTGGCAGCTGAAACTATTTTCTCGCCTTTTGTTTCCGTGGTAGCTTTTGCAGAGGACAATGAACAGACAGACGCAGGATGGTTTAAGTTCTGAAGTCTCTGTGCTGGGACTGCCCGTGGCTTCAGAGTTCTGTCGGGAGGCTGAGACTGCGACCCTAGACCTATGGTTCTGGTTTTGAAAGTGGGTTTGGTCACTTTTGCAGGGGATTGGAAAAGAGAAGGGTTAGGCCTTCCGTGCATGTTTCCCTTAGGTAGCTTTGGACACTTAGTTGATAAATTTATAGGTGATGCGTCCCTGGAAGAAAGATGATTGTGTTTCAAATGCTTCGGTTCAATTTTTCCAGAAGACTTACTTGGCAAAAGTCTAGCCTTAGATAGATCTCTTGGATTCTGTGCTGGAACAGCCAAGGTCTTAGCGGTCTTGGAGAAGGTGACACATTTTCTCACTGACTCAGATGCACAGTGCACAGCATTGGATGACGCTGGTGTGGTGCTGTTGCCCACTGAAGTTAAAGAAGACGATGCACCATTGGGAGGAGCATGTGGCTTTTTCGCTCTGCCCTTCACAGACGTGACCTTGGGATGTGAAGACGATGCTGGAGAATCCGGAAGTTTAGACCCGGCGGGCAGGGAAGCTGCACTGCCTTTTACTGATGATGCAGGAGGCAACACACCTGGCAGGCGCACATGTCTTTCCGTGCTCTTTGGAGCACTCACTGGTGTGCCCGCTTTTAAATTCTGCTTCTGAAACATGTTAACTGCAGACAAAGGGTCCATTTCTGGGGGCTGAGGCATTCTGGCAGGCGAGTCTGGCATGCTTTCATTTGAAATTCCTTTTTGAAATGCTAAAATTTTTTGTTCTAGGGTAGCAAACTGCAGTATTCGACAGGGGTCGTATTTCAGCAAAAATCCTTGCAGAGTATCCCAGCCTCCACCAACACGGACCATTACGTGTTTCCCATGAAGCATCTGTCCCCAAACAAAAGTAAAACAGGGAAACTGTGAGGTTTATAGTGTCAATCTGTTAGCAACCATTTCCACTTTCTATGACCTGTGAAATTTGGAGTATTCGCCAATAGCTTTGTTTCAAATCATCAGTCTCCTTTTTGTATTAAAATAACAAACACTAATAGATTATACAACTAGTAATAAAAGCCCTCCACTTTGTAATAAAAATATTCACAAATAATTTGCATCCTAAAACCCACACAGGTAATACAGAAAACTGCAATAGTGATATTGTTCAGTGGGTTGAGTAGTGAAGGAAGAAAAAAGTTTCATGAGAGACAAAAAGTAATTAAAAAAAAAAAAACAACTAAAACTAGTACTTTACATCTAAAAGCTATACTCTATCATTTCATCTTTAAAACACTTACATAAATTATTATTAGTTTGTCCTTGCAGGTAAGAATGACTCTGAGAGATTAAGACATTTGTGGCTAGCCTCCACCATACCAGGCTGTCCCTACAGGGGCCCTTCTGTGGGGCTAAAACAAATCCCAGCTCTGTCAGTGCAGGCCAGGCTGGCTTTCAGGCCGCTGTCCTGAAAAGCCTGTGGATGTTCACATCTCTGTGAGCTCAGAGTCAATTTCAGCTGTAAGCCCCAGTCTGTGTGCATCACAACCATAGGTACGCACTCCTTACTCTAGGCCCTAATCAAAGAATCCCCTCTGTCCAGTGAACAGTGGTGAATGCAGATACGTGGCCGCGTGAAGTGCTGCATATACATGATGGACGAGTGCTCGGTCCGCTAAGGGTCGGGGAACAGTGTGTAAAGGGATGTGGAGAGAATGTACGAGCCGGAGGACAGGAAAAAGGGCCGAGGAGGCTCATCTTCCGGGCAAGATGCAGCCATTACAATAGTGAGCGCCTAGCTGCTGTAGATGACTGCAGAATGTACAAGACTGGACCCAACCATCAGGCCTGGATGGAGGAGGGGCTTCGGGAACTCCACCCCTCGCCGCTGACTATTTACTAAGGAAGAAAAAAGGAAGACTCTACAGTCACTTATTCTCAAATCTCTCTTCAGGTCAGTTTGGGTAATAAGTGCTAACAGTCAAGGCAAACCCATTTCTGCTTCTATTTGCTGTCAATCGGATTCGCAGAGAGGGAAACTGTCTTCAGCTCTTATCCACTGGTGACGACAGCCGGCTCCAGTGAACAGTTTCCAATCCAGATGGCCCCAAGTAAACTAATTAAATCACAAAACTAAACCAAAGTCGTAAACACCAGAAAGGGATCGGTAGTGATGATGAGACCAGGTTAAGGATGGGGTGGAGGAGGGGGGAGACTGAGGTAAGGCAAGAAGGTTGATAATCAGAATACGGTGTACATGTGTAAATAGCTCAACAATGAAATCAGCGAATAAACATCTTAAAGAAAGCTAGGAGGAGGGTGTTTCTATGTGACTCAGACACAGGGCAGGAATGTGATGATTCTATGTGAAAGAGAGGAAACCATAGACGGTGAAATTCTATGTGTAAGTATTCTTATATTTTGTTCCTAAGTTTGGAGAAAACAGATCTTGCATTATATCGAATGTAGAAAAATGCTAAAGAGGTGAAATTTTAATTTCCTTATCAACAAAAGCGATAAAAAAAAAAAAAAATCAACAGCAGACGAGACAAGGAAGGCCATGAACTCGGGTATTATCAACATACTGGTACATGACCTAAGATCTTATGTTTACACCTAAAAGTATTTATCATTATGAATGGGAGTTGATGGAAAATTATTCTGTTTATGAAAATCTGAAAAAGTGCAGTAAATTCCCCAAAGTACATGAAGATATTTTTATTTAATTATATCCAATGTTTTAAATAGTCTCAGCTGTCTTCTAGTTTGTGCTTGAATGATAAAAGCATCTACTCAAACTCATTTAAAATTCATGAAACCAAGCATACCATATTTTTCCTGTGTAGTGAAATTAATAGTACCCTCTACTCTATTTTTTTTAAATGTAAAAGGGGGGGGTCAAAAGAAGTTTGGTAAATAAGAAGCCCAATCCCCAGACAAGCTTGTAAGAATATAGGCTGCAAACAGCAAATTTACCCTTATAAAGAGTATTTTCTCCCCGAGCCGGTACCGTCCTTCAGATAAATATTCAATAGAAAATCGATGAGAACAACTACAAGGAGGATCCTCAGCAATATGTTTAACCTAAAATTAAAAGTAATTATCAATAGTCAGTGCTCATTAGGAAAAAAAAAATACCTTATTAAAAGTTAAAGAGCAGTGTTATTGGACAGGAAAATAAATCTCAAAGACGAAACTTCAAAGCTGGTTCAAGTATTTAATATCCCCTCCTTACTAACTGATTTTTGAAATCAAACAGTTAGATTAGCAACAGCCAGCAGTTGTGAGGGCCGGGTCTCCCTGTCTCTTAGACCAAGTGAAACCTGGCTTGAAGTTACAAACTCTGACAGAGGTCTGACAATAGAACCAAACATATTTGCTGATCTTTAGAAACAGGAGTCATCATTAAGCCTGAATTGTTTTAAGCCCTGGATTATTACATTTGTATCAAAGACCATCCAGTCAGATGTAGAGGAAATAAGAATTCTCAATTTCCCCTTAAGACAGCGCTAAACTGATAAGCAAGTGTGGAGGGACAAACACATTTGTTCCAAATTGCTGCTAAAATAAGTAGAGACAAATGCCTATATACTCCCGATGGAACAGAATTCTTACTATTTCAACTCAGGAAGCGTTTTCCTAGAAGTATTTGCTCCGTTTCAAACACCTCACGAGGAAGGGATGGGAAAGAAAACACCTTACTACTATCCCTCACAATGCTTGAACCTTTTGCTCCATTGCTCACTATTATGTTCAAACTGAAACTCCCATCACAGGCTACTACCATCAAACAAACACGACATATGACCAGAAGAACAATCCCTTATTACTTACAAATCAAATTATGATGTCACCATACATTAAAACAAAAACTACTGACTTCTCCCAGCCTTGAACCATCACTCATCAAGTGCACATTGGTTCTTCACACATTCCCAGAACTCACCAGGGAGCGCAGATTAGTAACTGACACATACTCTGCATGTAAACCGGCCATTTACAAATACACAAAACTGTGTGTCCACAAAGCACAGCAATTACTTACAGCCTGGTGTAGCTCTTCATGCTGACAGCAAGATTTGGGGATGTTGATGGACTCTTCAAGCCCCGAGGTATTAAGCAGGGTCTCTTCTAACTCAATTTCTTTCTCCAGTTTCACTAATACTGGTGGCTCAACTCCATATCTGAAAACAAGCCAGGAAATGTGATCATGCAATGTGTACCAACTTCATCTCTGCAGACCAAAACAGGCAACGTTTTACTTCTGGAGCCAAGTCTATGCGACTCTTCCCTACAGAGCCTTTTGTGTGTGTGTGTGTGTGTGTGTGTGTGTGTGTGTGTGTGTGTGTGACAAAGTTTTTCTGTGTAGCCTTGGCTGTCCTAGAATTTAAGAGATCCACTTGCCTCTGCCTCTGCCTCCTGAGTACGGCACCAGCCGGAAGTGCTTTTCAATGTTTCAGATTGCCCCAAATTCAGACTATAATCTCTGCATCATAGCATATATCTGGGTTATGTAATATTTTCAATATTTTTTGGTGTCTGAAAGGCAGCTTTAAAACAAGTTGGTGGGTGGACAGGACTGACACAGTATGGGGACATAGAGCCTCAGCCTTCTTAGCAAATGGTAGTTGATTTGCTTTGAAAGATTTAAGTAGCACGTTCACAGTTTCATATTAAATGAAGGCAAGGTAAGTGAAGAAAGCAAATGCTGGCACACACGCATGGGATATAAATGACGACACAGGAAGAGAAAACAGATATAAATGACGACACAGGAAGAGAAAACAGAGAACTGGGTCGCTTCACTTCGCTCAAGATTCTTATTCTTTGGGTATAGAAAGTATGATGAAATCAAGTTGCTTAAAGGAATTTTTGATGTTGAAATTCTGAAATATTGAGAAATACGTACCTTGACACAATTCGACCAATCTCAAGGAGACAAAGGTACACCTGCCTGGGGTCTTTATGTAAAACTAGGGAAAAAGAAGACCATATGTGTTAAGAATCTGATCTAATTTGGGAAATACATTCTGGCACAGGGAGAGTAAAAGGAGAGAATAAAGAAGACAACAGGGTTGTCTTCTGGTTTACACAAGATGTTTTTATTCTCGCTACACAATATCCTCTGCATTAAAAAGTAAACTCGCGAGCATAAAGGGAATGAGCAGTGGCCACGGATAGTTACTTGTTTAGCATTTCAGACTTTAGCACCTATGGATTTGTAGCACTAAATTATGTGGAGATGGCTCAACAGCCAATTATCTCGACAGCTGTTTTCTATCAACACTAACCCTTCCCCATAAAAGGAAACTCAAAAGCCAGTGAGGGGCTGCCCTCTGAAATCCCAGCTTTGAGACAGGCAGCCATCTGGTCAGTCTGAATAACGCTTGCTTAATCAGACAGTTGTGGCAACGGTTTCCCCTCGAGTTGACCAAGTCCTAAGGAACTCTGGAGTCCTAACCTAAGGTGCAATGTGTTCTGAGCGCATACACTAATTCCACCAATAGAAAGGGCAGTGTTCTGAGGTGGGCGGAGCATCTACTACACACACGAAGCAAATAATGTGTTTCCTGTGGAACAGGTCTTGACACATGGCTCAGGCCAAGATGACAGGTGTGCACCCACATACCTGGCTATAAAGCATTACCTTTTAAAGCAGCAAAAAAGGCCTCTGAGTTCAAATCCACAGAAATAAAGGAATTTATCATGAAATATTTCAAACCTGGTTTTATAAATATCCTAAGTACCTTAAAATAGTATATTTATTTTTTAAAGTTACATTTGAGTTCCAGGCAAATGCAAATATATACACACATACATATATACTGATATATATAATATATTATTTATACACAGAGACATAGATACATAATCACTTCAATGACTACAAATGAGTTACTGGTGTTGACTTCTTAGCCCTACACTGCTTGCTTTCTAGCATTGCTGGGAGATGTCTGTTACATTTAGAAAAAAAAAAAAAATGACAATTTCAGACCTCTTCAAAAGTAGTAAGTAAGCTACAAAGGAAAGAATTCTAAGCATTCCCTCCCCCGTTTGATCCAGTGCCTGTTGATCAGCATCATTGTCAGAAACAAGGAACATACCCGAGTTCGCGGCACGGCCTGTCTCCCGGGCAAACCACTGCGCCCCACCCTGAACGGGCAGGGTAGCCAGACCAGATCTGGGGCTGCAGCTATCCAGGAGCAGACCTCCTCTCACACTGCTGGCCCAGAATTTCAAAACTAACAAATTCAGCTGAAAGTCGGCTTGCTTTTAATCAGCACCGCCACTGTGGGACCGTAAACAGTGTCAGGAATAACACTCGTGTCTAGGAATACGACGTTCCCACCGCAGGTGTATCTGTTTACATGTGCATATGTAAACACATACACACCTGTAAAGCCTTAAAACGTGTGTGTAACACAGCCAGCCAGCTGCTCCATTAGTACCCACATAGACGCTTCTGCTGACTTAAAATGAGAAAAATACATCACCAATTCCTCAGTGGAGCATTATTTTATTTTGGGGTGGGGTGGGGTGTTTCAAGGCAGGGCTTCTCTGTGCAGCTCTGGCTGTGAAACCTCATGCTATAGTCCAGGCTGGCCTGAACCTCTGCCTTCTGAGCACTGGGATTAAAGGCACGTGCCACCACCACCCAGCTTAGAGCATGACTTCTTCAATGAATTGTAAAAAAAAAAAAAAAAAAAAAAAAAAAAAATTATTATTTTTCGATAATATGGCAACTATTACTTACAATTAAATCCCAATACTAAAAGCACATTTCACCTGTTATTTCTATAATGAGCTGATTAAAGAGGAATGGCTAGTAATTTAGGCCTGGTAAACATCTTCAGGAAAGTATTAGTGGAACATAATTAGTTAGTGTAGAATCTTCTGGCCTCCAACTCAGAGAGTTCTAGTTATCTAAAGAATATTAACACAAATGAAAAGCTTACTATGTTTGATTAATATCTGATTATCCAACTGTTTCACATCTAATTGAAGTACAAATTTTGTACATAATAGTGATATGGCATTTTGAGTTACTATTTAGAAAGGAAATTTAGAAACAAGGGCCACAAAACCATCCTAATAAACACGAAAAGCTCTGACAGCAACAATAGGTACGTACCTAACCCTTCAGACTCAAAGAGGTAAGTTTCGTCAACCCCAATGTGCCGACACCAGTGAAGAAAGTTTGCGGTGTTGTCTCTGGCAAAGAATGAACCCGACGCAGCATCTTTCTTACAAGGCACTTTCCTCATTGGAAAATTCTAGAAAAGACATAAGGACAATTTACCAAAAAAAGAATCAATGATATTTTCATTCAGTGTTCATTTTAGTATGATGAAGAAACTGTTAAATGTATTAAGTATAACTACAGACTACACAGTTTGGAGGGAAAACAATTATCTTCTAAAATGACTTTCTTCTTCTGCTTTAAGTGTCTTCCAGAAAAAGATGCTTAGGAAAATGATCTACTCAAAACTAGCAGTAGATTCAAGCTTCTCTAATCTTCTTTTTAAAGTAGTACACGGGTCTCAAAATGTAAATGATGGCCTGGTAATGATAGCATATCCACAGTGTCTCTCCATGCAGTTCAATGCAAATACAAATACAAAACTGCACTCTGCTGTAGATTAACAAATACTAGTGTTTGCTTTCTTCTTCCCCCGGAGACTCATAAAGGCTGCCTGAGTTTCTTAAAAGAGACTATAAAATGTGGGAGTGGTTGCCTTAATTCAGGTTCTTTGATGACCTAAGTTAGTATTGTTGTATTCATAACTATCAAGCCCTAGAGTATTCGGATATTCCTGCTGAGGCTGGGACAGGAAAGGGGGGTGTCTTTTGCTTTTACATTTTACTTGGCAATTTGTAACAGTGATGTTTTTAATGCAATAGGTACAGTAGTAGGTCTTTCTCCATCATTGTCGGCTTCTCTCTCCCTAGGGGCAACCTCTACTACCAAATCTATGCATCTCCTTCTGGGTGCTATTATTTTCCAGAACTTAAATAGCCTGCATGCATGATTAAATACAGAATATATTATCATTACCAAAAATATACTAATAAATATAGCAAAACGCAAAGATGATTAGTATCAAATGAGTTCTTCTGACATTTTGATAAAATATCTCTGCAAAGCTATGCGTATATACCTAGAAAATACCACACAGATATGAATCTACAATTTGATATGCATGTGTGTGCATGTACTTCAAATGTATGTATACTGGATAGGTTGTAGGCATATTTGAGACTTAAAAAGGATACATTTAAATAATTATTTCTAATAACTATATAATATTCCAATGTTTAGGTGGTGGGGATGTCCTTCTGTATATATGTTTCTCTTATTGGGTGATGAATAAAACACTGATAGGCAGGATGAGGAGACAAGGAGAATTCTGGGGAGAGAGAAGAGAGACGTCTCAAGGAGACACCATGCAGAGACCAGGAAGATAGAATGCACCAGGCATTCTCTGGTAAGATAAGGCAATACAGAAATGCATGGATTAGTAGTTATGGATTAATATTTAAGAGAGAGCAAGCCAGTAAGAAGTCCTAGCCATCGCCCAACATTAGTTTATATTAGTTTATAAACTAATATAAGTCTTTGTGTGTTTATTTGGAGCTAATCAGCCCTGCGGCCAGGTGGGACAGAAACTTCCATCTTCATTTAGGTAACAATTTTACAACTTCTCTATTGACAAGCAGATTTATTATTTCTATTCTGTGATTTTCTTAGAATGAATTGCTAGAAGTAGGGAACTGTACATCTCAAAGGATGCACTTTATTTTCAGTATTAAATATATGGATACACATGTGTGTATGTATGCATCTACCTATAAATAGATACCTCACTCAATCCTCCAAGCAAAATGATCCTATTTTATATTTAATATATAATAGTATGTCTAGGCTCCAAACTCCCAAAGACACTTTGATAAAAAGAAAGAAAACCTAATCTTCCTCAAATCATTACTTTAAACTTACCTTTTAAAAATGCTATGCATTCCAACAATATTTATAAGCATATCACTACTGCAGCCGACCTCCAAGATGATGATGACAATGACAATAAGAAATGGGGTGACACATGTGCCAGTGCCTTAGTTAGGGTCACCGCTGCTGTGACGGACACTACGACTACAAGCCAGTTGGGGAGCACTCCCATACGATGCCACTCGTCAGCGTGGCAGGAGCCCGGAGGCTGGGCAGGAGCTGATGCAGAGGCCATGGGCAGGAGCTGATGCAGAGGCCATGGGCAGGAGCTGCTCACTGGCTTGCTCATCATGGCTTGTTGAGACTGCTTTCTTACAGAACCATCAGCCCAGGGAAGGCACCCCCATCAATCCCTAATTAAGAAAATGCCTTACAGCAGGATCTTATGGAAGCATTTTTAAATTGGATTTCCCTCTTTTCAGGTAACTCTAGCTTGTGTCAATTGATATATATTTCCAGCACAGCTAGAAATATATATCCTTCCTATGGAAGGTACTGTCACTGTGTGTGGGGTCTAGCTGCTGGGGATCACCTATCCCAGGCACAATCTATACACTTAATATCAGTGAACATCCACAAGTAAGTACCACAAAGAAGATAGCTGTTATTGTTTCTGGTGTGTATATGTGTGTGTATGCTCATGGAGATTCGTTTCTTAAGACAGGGTCTCTGGGTGAGCCTGAAACTCAATGGCTAGATGGACTAGTGGGCCATCGAGCCTTTGGGGTCTGCCTGTCTTCATCTGCCAGCACTGGGATTATGGGGGTACACTGCCACCACCACCTTTTACATGGGTTCTGGAGAGCAGAACTCAGGTACTGATGTTACAGGACAAGCACTTTGCCAACCGATCGATCTACCTTTCAAGTCTCAAGGTGAATGTTACTAGCTTTATTTTACAAATATGGTTTTTCAAATGCACAAAAAAGTTAAAACAGTTTTCAAAGTCTCATGGCCAGTTACATGACGTAAACATACACCCACATGGAGAAGCAGGCATGCCTACCCTTTTCTGAATGGACACAGAAGAGGAATAGAAGGGGGTGGGAAAGCAGAGTGGTGGAGGGGAGGGGCGGGAGGGGAAACTGGTCAGGATACAAAACAAATACGTAGATACGAACAATTGACGTCATCGCTGTCAGGATTTCCTTACCTCTGGTTCTTCAGAGTGGCATTCCTTTACCATATTTTGAAGAACGTTGATTAATTGACACAACAGCACTCCATTATCAAGCTCTTCCAATAATCTTTCTGCCTTAATGTCAATACCTAAAAACATAATTTAAAGCTAAGACCCATCTAGAAGCAGCAGTTTCAAAAGCAGTGGCTACACTTACAGTCAGATAACAGCTGGAAAACTAAACAAATACCAGATGAGATGCTAAGTTTCCACCCTTCAAATGTATATTAAAACAAATAATGTCAAGTTAAATCAAACACAAAAGAAAAAGATCTGTGATACATAAAGTTCAAGAAAAAAATACATGTACATTTATGTTAGATAAATTCACTGCACAATGGGGGGAAGTTCCTTATAAATAAGATGGACTTTGTTGCAATTTAAAGATTAAATATAGTACAAGAATAGTCTGGGAATATCAACTTCTACCTCTAAAATACTTCTCTAAAAGCATAATTACTTTACAAACTTGAAAATCTTTCCAATCATCAAGCTGATACCAGACAAAGAGTGACTGCTGAGTATATGTTTATCTTCCAAGAGCCTCAGTCCATCTTCAGATTTTCCTTCCCGTGAAAATCTCAGAACACTACATGAGGATCTGTAGTTAAGTGATTGAGGGACTGAGGCGAAAGCTCACTCAGTAAAGTATGAGGTCCTGAGCCTGGGTACCCAGAACATACAAAAAAGGAGGTGGGTACCTGTGATGGAGTTAGACAGATCCCTGGAGCTTTTGACCAACTAAGCTAGCATGCCTGTGGTTACACGCGTGCGCGCGCACACACACACACACACACACACACAGACACACGTGGATGCACATGCATGAACATGAACATGAAAGTCCTGTGACACTCACACCCACACACATGCATACACGTACATGCACACATGCATACATACAAAGCAAAAAGTGACCCCCTTGCCCAGAAAGAAGCTCAGAGCACTCATCATAATCTTGAATAAACTCATGTAAAAAAAAAAAAAAATGCCAGGCATTCTCTGACATTTTCTCTTTGATTTCCTTTGCTTCTACTCCTCGATGATTTGAAGCAGTATTTATTTTTATATAACTAAAATATATCCTCCATTTATAACCTTATAGCTCATATAAGTTTGGGGACATCAGTAAAAAAAAGAAAAAAATCAATAGTAGACACACACAATTTTTTTGAAGTATATTAAGATTAACCATAAAGTATTGATTATTCAAAAAAGCTGGCCTCTTCAATCAAATCTCTCAAGTTTCATATAATTCACAGCTGAGGATGGGAGTATCTTTTTAGCCACACAGCCCATGAAAACAAGGACTGACTGTCATTCACTAGCATAGTCCAGCATCTGTATCAATCAATCAATCATGTCTTAAGTGAAGATTAAAAAAACAACAAAACAAAACAACGTTTTTGTAAGCCTTACCTAGTAAGCCTGATAACCAAATAGAGAGGTCTTCTTGCATAGGCAGCAGAGTGGCTTCATGCCTCACAGCTATCCACTCATCATACTGACAGACATCGGCCAGACCTGGTCCATGTCTGGGAGTCAGGGGACACCTGGGACTTAGAGGTAGGTCCTCCCCAAACCATACCTAGACAAAACATCAAACAGCTTAAAGACAGACATCTTCAGTAAAAGTCACCATAATCCAGTTCATGTTTAAATAAGTAGGCAGAGGCCATACAGACTAAGCAAAACTGCACCATCTCATAGAAATCGGCATTATTTGGACTGCTTTCAGTATTTAATGCAGTGGTCAACGTCAATGAACACTAAATTAATGAACTGATTCCACTGTAGAGTCAAGAGGGAAACAGTCCAACAAACAGTGCTTTCCTTCCCGCATCATAGCTATAAAATGGCTTAATGATGCGTGACTCACAAGGCACATGTCTGTAGCACCTAGCACTGACCCTGGCAGGCGGCAAAGGTTAAACAACCGTCTGCTGAATGATAGGTGGATGAATGCATTTAAGGTATCTGCAAACTTCAAATTGTAATTGTGTTGTTTTAAACATCTGATTATTTCTCTCTCTCTCTCTCTCTCTCTCTCTCTCTCTCTCTCTCTCTCTCTCTGTCTCTCTCTGTGTGTGTGTGTGTGTGTGTGTGTGTGTGTGTGCACATTTGCACAGGTGCCCATGGAGGCCAGGAGAGAATGTCAGATTCTTTGGAGCTGAAGTTACAGGCAGTTGTGAGCCATCTGATGTGGGTTCTAGGACCAAACTCAAGTCACCTGCAGGAGCGAATGTGCTCTGAGCCATCACTCCATCCCCTACAATACTGCCTTTAAATCTTTTCCTAAATACTTTGATTAAAGCAATAAAACAGCAAACTACAGTCTAAGCAAACCTGCTTCATCATCTGTATATTTTATGACCTATAGCTAAAGCATTTTAATAAAATGGTTACTATGAAAGTAGCCAAGTATCCATCTAACAGTCTCTGTTTTGCCTACTGGCCTGCAAAGTCTAAAATAATAAGAATAAAATAAAATTATATAAATAATTTATCAAACCAACACTTGGAAATATTTGAAATATAAACAGATTTGCTTTCAGGTTGTTTATAGAAAAGGCTCAATTGTGCAAATTATGAAAGAAGCAATCATGAAGTCACTTTTTAAAAGGTTGACCTAGTTGCCCCAAAGCACTTTTGAATCTTTCAAATATCTAACACAAGTAAACTGCAGAATTAAAATCTTAGGACAAGAAAGTCAAAATGCTGTATTGTTAACATGTTGTGTTAAAGATCTCAATAGTATCAATTCATAATTTATATTTCTCTTTTCCAAAAAGAAAACTTACCTGAATTGCAGGCTGCATGGTCATCTACTCTGAGATGAAACTAATATTCTGGAGAGAGAAGAAGGCATTAATTAGCATGTAGATGATGACAGCATGTAGATGATGATCACTCAAACCCAAATTCCAAGAATTCAGAATGTGCTTTCCTCCCTCTCTGACTGAATACCTGAGGCATTCTCAGCTAGCTAGAAAACTCTATGAGGAACTCAGCAGGGACTTGGTGGCTTCTGCCTCCATAATGGAACATGTTAACTGAATGAGAGAAACCTGCAACACTGATGCTCTGTCTCTGGCACTAGTATCAAAGCAATGAGGTTGAGTTCATGACATCTGCTTCGCAGAGCACAACCTTTTCCCATATAACAGGGCAAGAGTGATGTCAACATAACTCCTCAAAACTGATTCTGAAACTCAAGCATCTTTTATCTTTGTGACTCATATGGACTTTATAAATCACATGCTTAGCCATATGCTTTTTCTGTTAGATAACAAGATAGCAAAGTTAACGATCAATTCTAACTGTGAATTAAAAATACTCAATACCTTCCCGTGGTAGCTTGTCAAAAACAACAAGGAACAGCAGTGTTGGCTCCAAAGCTCTGTTCTTGAAATCTACAAAGGAAAGATAAACTTTAATAAATTAAATTAGATCAATACATTAACATGCTTTCAGTGAGCGAAAGGCTTAAGGCAGACTAATACACATTATATGAAAACTATGTTTGCCGCTTGTTTATAGCAGCATGACATACTCTATGATTATTAGAAACTACCACGAAAAGATTTTAAGAGAAAATTACAAAACTATTTATAAGACTTAAAATGTTACCTGTTTCCAAAGTCATGCCCTCCCCTGAGCTCTCTCACACACACATGCACAGTGCAGCTATACGCACCACATTCTCTACGGAACCTGGGCTAACGCGAAATGAAGAAGCTAACGCTGTATCACATTTTCCCTGCAGAAGTCAAGAGAGCACAGAATGCCCTTTCTGATCTCAGCTTTCTCCCCTCTCCGCCACAGCAAAAGGCCAAAGCACAAGGGGGCATTGCCAATGAGCTCGTTATGCTTCCCACCAGCTAATTCAGTGGGGAATACATTTTCCTTTAGCATAAATAACCCTTTGTCCCCAACAATGGTCCACAGTATGAAGCTTCCGAGACCATTTCTTAAAAATGCAGCAACGGAGCTGTTCCCATTAAAATGAAGTTCCACATAATCAGACAAGAGCTCTAACGGTTGGAGCTGCCGACCACCAACAAAAGAAAGCTGCAATTATAAGGCGTGTGCACACCCAGAACAGTGGCACATTCACAAAAGAACCGTCACAAGAATGTTCAGCAGCTGCATTTTTTACGGAAAGTTCAACAAAATTCGTTTTATGAAGGAAATGAAGAATTTGTGTACAACAGTCACTTGAACTTTAGCAAAAGTCCTATGTCCTCAAATTCTTCTTATACAACACCGGACAGCACTCCGGAGATGGCAGAAACATAACCACCTGCAGTACCTGTAAAAGTGCTTCTTTAGAGATGTGTACTACTTATTCAGGGGAAAACTTATAAACTGTCCAGACTGAATCAGCTAATCAGGTACTTAATGAGACTTACTGCTACATTCCAGATACAGAGAGCCTGTGTGTGTGTGTGTGTGTGTGTGTGTGTGTGTGTGTGTGTGTGTGTGCTTCAAATACAGAGAGCCAGTTTGTATGTATATATGTATGGATGGATGGATGGCTACACACATGCACATGCATATATATAATCCAGCTCTTCATATTCCTCTTGCAAGGCAGTTTGTATATATACATGTATGTATACATATGTACACACATACACACATATAACCCAGCTCTTCTGTCTCTCTTGTAAGCCAGTTTCACATCTAGGAGTAGCTGCTTGTTGAGTGGCAAGCCCTGAACCTCAGTCTTCCTTATTTTATCCTTCCCTGAGTCTCTGCCTCAATCTGAACCAGCGACACGCCGTTCCTGGGGGTGCACGTCACTGGGCTTTTCTTTTTCTTCCTGTCTCATTGGAGACGCTAACTTCGATTCTTTAGCAGCCTCAATAGGATATTTTGATTGTTGGGTTCCCCCCCACACCTTAAAGTGAGTAAAAACAAAACAAGAACTCTCGTGTGACCAGGTTCAAACTGCACCCTAACCCTGATATGAACCTTTCACAAGCAAACACAAGCTTTGAAACTCTAGGGAAGACGTCAGAAACAGTGTGTGTTCTCCACATGCAACCGGATGAGGACTGAACCCAATCCGCTCATCCCAAAAAAAGCAGTAATGGGGTCCTTGCAATTATTCTTAAGGCTCTTCTACAAACTTGACCTGCGATATAGGAGAGAAAGCCGTTCTGATTCTGTGGAACATTCCTTCCCAGGGCTGCAGGCTCCAGACCACACTATACTTCATTCCTCTTCCACATTACAAAATTGACAGGAAGAAAGGACTTAAAAGTCCCACAATAATCCTGACAAAAATCTGGCATCGACTAGGAAAAGCAGCAAAATGGCAAACAAATAAGGTAAGATTCTCCCGGGCCACGGGGAAGACTGCTTCTGACCCACAAACCCATTCTGTGCTCAACCAGTAGATGACCGCCAATACACACAGGCCGCAAGGACATGACCAAGTGCCAAGCGTAGAGGCATTTCTCTACTAGTCTGTACGCCTGCAATGTATGTCAAAAACGCTTCCCGTTTTAATGTCTTTCTCTAAAATAATAGTTGAAGAACATAGAATTCCTGACACATACAGAAATTTAAATTTTTCAGCTTTAAAACTCTTAGTTAAATATTTCCTAGATGCTTAGCAGAGAAAATAGAAATGTCACATCTTTACCAAATGTTTTTCATATATTTTAAAGTACATACTAATATACTCACCATCAAAACAGCACTACAGCAGTGCAAAGTATCGGATTCATCTGGATTCAATTCCTGCTCCAACATAAATCAGATATATGACCGTGATATAGTTAACTTCTTGGAACCTAAGAGTTTATCAGAAAAACAGGGTATCACCATCACCCTCAGATGGCTGCTCTAAAACTAAACTGAGACAACACAGATGGAGCACTTAACTAATGACGTCTATTAAAGCTATCATGAGACGTAATTGCAGTTCATTTAACAAAATTAAAAAGATAAGGCAAGACTAATAGGATTCAAACACCATTAAATATGACCTAGAAGGCTACTTTTGCTAACAAATGTATGGTTATAAATGAAAATAAAAAGTTTAACACAGCCATATCCAAACTTGAAGTCAGAATATGCACCTTAGGATTCTCTTTGCTAGAATAAGTCTTCGTAAATTGGTCTGTCTATTTGCAGTATGCAGTATGCATAGGACTATATGGGGGCATAGATCCATACACACATACAGAAGCCACAGCAGATTATCAAATGTCTACTTCTGCCACTCTGCCTTGTTACCCTGAGGCAGGGTTCATGGACTTGTGCAAGTAAGCTTTGCTAGGTTCTTCTAGACCTTACCCTGGCAAAGAAATGTTCTTACTCTCTGAGCCCATAAATAGGTATTTTAAACATAGATTCTTCGCTCCTTTTAACCCGATTTCTGGGTCACTATTGAGGAAATGTCCTGTTTCGTGTGACACACACACATTTATGTCTTCAATAAATATCTATTCACATACTTTATTGAACTAGTCACCATAACAAGGATAAACATGGTGATCCTGTCACTACCCTTATAGAGCTAATAACAAACACCACTGGAGAAGACTGAAATGGGAAGTAGACAAATAAATGTAGAATGTTCCGCCATGCAATGACTTGAAGCAAAGAACAGAATCTTTCAAGAGACAAATAGCAGAGAGCTGCTTTAGACTTAAATTGAATGAAATAATTTTTTTCTGTAAGAAAAGCATAACCCTGAAGAATGCTAAGAGTCTAACCATAAGAGAAAAAAGGGTCCCATGCACACAGAGCGGTGTAACAATGGCTCATGGGAGGAAAGTATGACGTATTCCAAGAACTTAAACAAACACAGTGGCTGAAGTACAGAGAACGTGTGGCTTCGGATAATTGTTGGAGAGTGGTCCCATCACACAGGCGGTGTTGAGAAAATTAGATTTCACTCTAAATGCAGTGGGAAACCACAAGACAGTGTTAATGGCGGAGTGGTGACATGATCTCATTCATGGTTTTGTAAAGCTCTCTAAGGACAAAGGACTACAGAAGTAAAACAGAAGCGACTTTACCAAAGAAAAACATCTGTGGCTAGTGACAATGACAGGAACTGAGGGCAGGGATGAGAGAAAACGGGGAGAGCAGGGGACCGTGAGGGTAACACAGTGAGCGTCTACGGGAGAGGGAGGGGCAATCTGAAGGGCGGAGACAGAGGGAGGGGCAATCTGAAGGGCGGAGACAGAGGGAGGGGCAATCTGAAGGGCGGAGACAGAGGGAGGGGCAATCTGAAGGGCGGAGACCTAGGAAGCCAACAGCAGTTCAATGACAGATGATGCTGACTGAACTGGTGTTCAAAGGTGTCTCCCCTGCAGATACAAGTAGAATTTACACATACCTCTGCTTTAGTCATTGTTTTATTGCTATGAAAGGACACTACAACCAAGGCAAGTCTTAGAAAAGAAAGCATTTAGCTGGGGGCTTGTTTATGGTTTCAGAGGTTAGTCCACTATCATCACGGAGCAGAGTGTGGCTACACGCAGGCAGACTTGGTGATAGAAGTAGCTGGATGCTACATCTTGATCCATCCGCACAGAGACAGATGCTGGGCTTGGCACGCACTTTTAACTGAAGTGCCTGCAAGTGACGTGAGCTGGTGAGTCAGAGGACTCACTAAGGAAAGCAAATGACTAAGGCTGGGAAGCGGGCAGAGCCCCAAGAATACAGGACCAAATAGCTGCACAAAGGGGCAAGGACTCTGACCACTGTGATACTCAAGGATGTGATGGGAGATGTCATTCTGTAAATATGTTTCTTGTATTGGTTAATGAATAAAGCACTGTTGGCCAATAGGAAAGCAAGATAGGCGGGACTAGGAGTCAAAGAGGAGAGAGGAAGAAGTAGGGAGGAGATTCAACAGGGAGGGTGGAGAGAGCAGAATACCGGGCCCTCTCTCCAGTAAGATGAGACCATATGGAAATATTTAGATTAATAGCAATGGGTTAATATTTAAGACAGAGCTAGCTAATAAGAAATGCTAGTAAAAGGCCGACAGAATTATATCTAATACAGTCTCTGCGTGTTATTTGGGGCTGGCACGGCTGTGGGACCAGGCCAGCGGGAAAATATACTCATAACATGGATGCACATGACTGTTCCTCCCTATGCGTACGTGTTTATTATACTGTAATCTGTACCAGACAGACGAATGGCACCCAGAGATGATCCTCGTTGTCCAGAGCCTGCAAAAAGTACCTGCTGTGGCAAGGCAAAAAGAACCTTGCAGATAGATAAAAGACCTCAAGATGGGAGATTATCCAGATGTAACTAATGTAATCATAAGAGTCCTTAAAAGAGGGTTGAAGAGAGGCCAGTCATGGAGAGAGAGGTCATGATGGGGAAACAGAGGCAGAACTGAAGGCCTAGACCAAGGCTGTGAGGGAAGGCGCCAATGAGTGCAGGGGCTTCCTGGATAGGCAGAGAGGACTTGCCCACACCTTCTTTCATAAGCACCGTTAAAACTCAGTCTTTTTATCCTCAAACTGTAAGGCAATAAATCAGTTATGCTTTGAATCTGTCTAATACTTGGGAAGCTGAGGCAGGAAGCCTAAGATTTCAAGGCATGGGCTACATAGCAACATCCTATCTCAAAATTTTAAAAAAGGAAACATTACCATAAAGCAATACTAAATTGATACCTAAATGTATATTATTAAAGGTTAAAAGGTAATGTGAAATAAAAATGGCATAAATCTGTTGTGTATTCACCTTACAAAAATCTACAGCTTCAATAGTGGATGAAGACTTTTCAGAAAAATAAAATTTGTTGACTAAGACATAGTTCAGTAATGGAGCATCTAGCTAGTATACACAAGGCCCCACATTCATCTCCAGAACTACAGGAAAGCGGGAGCAAAATGTTCTGTTTATTTACTAAACATCACATGTCACTTAAAAAACACAGAGACACTTCCTTTGTTAGAGAATTCAAAAAATTCTCTTGCAGTGTTTGGCACCTATTGAATCTGAATAACTCAATTTCATCTTAGAATTTTCAGTGTAGTTTTGGGATACAAAAGAATTGTTTTGTAAGATTTTTTTAAAATTGTGTATATACTGAGGATGGTGTGTACAGGTGCGTTCAGGCACCAGGGAGGCCAGAGAAGGGTCCCGATCCCTTGGAGCTGGAGTTCGTTATAGGTGAGCTTGCAGCAGGAATGCTGGGGACTGAACATGGGTCCTCTGCAAAAGCAGAGCACGATCTTAACCACTGAGCATCTCTCTAGCCCCCACCCTCCAGAAACTTTAAAAAAAAACTTAAAATCAGCTCAACTTCAGTACTTCAATGAAAAGACTGCATGTACTCTAACATAAGGAAACATTAGAAAAAATATATGTAATTATCCACTAACTAAGAACTTATCAAATAACTTATGGAATTTTCATACTATACCCTAGAGATATGAGTGTGGGTAAAAAGTGAAAACTTTTCTCAAGACATGGTGGTACCCACCCGTAACCCCAGCACTGGGAAGGTGAGGCAGGAGCGTTGCCACAAGTTTGAGGCCAGACTGGGTTGCAAAGCAACAGTTACTTTGTTCTGTTGCTGTGATAAGACCATGACCAAGGCATAGAAGCAAGAATTTATTGGGGCTTACAGTTTCAGAGGGTGAGTCCACGACCATCCACACCAGCAGACAGGCAAGCATGCCACTGGGACAGAAAGTTGGAGCAGTGGCTAAGAGCTGGCATGGTCTCCACAAGCATGAGGCGGAAAGAGCTAACTTGGGACTTGGAAACCTTAAGGCTAGGGAAACTCCACCCTCCCACCTCCCCACTCCCCCACCCCCACCAGTGGCATACCTCCAACAAAGGCCACACCTCCAAATCCTTCCCAAACAGTTCTACCAACTGGGGACCAAGTATTCAAACATGTAAGCCTGGGGAAGGAGGGACTCTCTCATTCTAGGCACCACACAGCATAGGTCAAAAGACAGGAAGGGAAGGAGGAAGAGAGGGGAAGAATGAACAGAAGGGAGAGGGGGAGAGAAGACAAAGAAAAAAAAGCTTAACAGAGCCAATTATTTTTAAACACCTAAATTTATTTTTGGCCAGGAATATGAGTAAGTCATAGGCTGGGGTTGAGTGCTTGCTTAGCATGTATAAGTCCCAGAATTACAGCCTTAGGAACACACGTGCACACGCGCACACACACACACCCACACCCACACACACACACACACACACACACACACACACACACGGGGGGGGGTCTAGAGGCTAGAAAGAGTGAGACTCTATCACAGTTAACATAATACATTCTTACAATAAACTTATGTTGCATGACAGTAAGGCGACATCTGCATCAGTCTGTAGCACTCCAGCATTACCTAGCATATGACTGACTGAGGGGGGAACACATCAAACTCCCAAGATCTTATCAGCAACAAAGAGGGAATAACATTTCATGTGAGTGCTACATTTTAGCACAGTCCAGTTCTGTGAAGATTTGTAATTCAGATATGAGATACTCAGTAACTTTCTCTTAATCAAGACATTTGGTGTGTCCTAGTGTAACTTAGTGAGAACACTTATTGGGCTCTTAAAAGAAACACCCAAGAAATGTAATTTTAACCATTGTCCTGCAAAGAATTATTTCTATGGCAGTTCTCTGTGACAAGGAAATCCTAAAGAAACTCAACTGGAGATGAATTACATTCGCTTCCCATTCTCTCAATTTACATCATATCATTAGGCATGTAAAGGTGTACCTAATCCAAATGTAGAACATTAATAAGAAGATAAATATAGCAAGAAGAGGATAAATATAGTCACACACTACTGAAAGACAGTATATAATAACGTTGTACACATTAATTTCAATTCTTTAATTTTCTCAACAGTAAGTTTGAAAAACATTATTGAGGTAAGTGACTTTTCCCTTTATCTCCAAACTGAAATTAAGATATTAAAAGGGGTGGAGGGGGCTGGGGAGATGGCTCAGTGGTTAAGAGCACTGATTGCTCTTCCAGAGGACCTGGGTTCAATTCCCAACACCCACATGGCAGCTTATAACTGTCTGCAACTACATGTCTGACACCCTCACACAGACATACATGCCCCAAAAAACACCAATGAAAATAAAAATGTTTAAGAAAAGGTATTAAAAGGGGAGGGGAGAAATGCTTAATAAAAAACAAATGGAAAAGTACAAATTAGGAAGCATTCCTTTTGAATTAATTTATAAACACCATCGGATTCCCTTTTTTTTAAACTGACTTTTTTTTAGCTGATGATGTATATGTTTTGACATTATTCTCCCATCACACATTTGAAATCCCATCATAAGTTATCTGCAATTTTAAGTGGTAAAATATTCTAAATAAGTCTATTTGCATAGCAAAGCATCAATGTGAGCCCTACAAACAAGGGCGTCTAGGGAAGTCACTTAATAAAATGGAAATGTAGTGTAAGACAGAAAAGAACCGGAATGCTGATTGGAGTGAGGCAGTCTACACAGAACTTTAGGTGGACTCCATTAATTCCTCCCCACTCTCCGAGCATTAGTTTCCATATGTATCACATGGAGACAACACCAGTTGGATCTCGGGAGTGTTAAGCTTAACAATAGTACAAGCAAAGCATCTAGAACCCCACCCAGGAGGTTCTGTAATGTGCCTGATAAACAGCACTATGATTACTTGTACTGACCTGGGAAATAGGTTTTGCTGTCCCACCCTCGACTTTGCTTCCCTTGGCCTTTTCAGGAAAGTTTACAACTTTTAGCCCAAGTTAAACAGTGTGGAATTAAGAATCGCCAAGTGTCTGGCATTATGTTATACTAATTCTATGGATTATTTTATTTAATCTCCACAACCCTTGTAGAAGCCATTATTAATCTTTAAAAAAAATAGATTAGGAAAACTAGGCTTAAAAAATTTAATAATTTGCCTAACTAAAGCTGCATACCTAATTAAAAAAGAACTGCTATCCGACTACACATGCTTACCAACTCTGGAACACTTTAAAAAAAAAAAAATCACGAAAACCAAAAGAGAGAAATCCACTTTCCAATCAACAACGTCAAAGCAGCACGCAGCTAATATTCAGCATCAGTTGGCCATAGTCAGTTTCTTAAACTGATGAGTCAGATACGACAACAGGCCCTACACCAGAATACTTACTGGTTTCTTCCTAAAAGGACTCAAAAGTGTGGGAAAATTCCAAGTTTTAATCATGCTGTGGTCGTGCTAAAGAGAAGTGAGCCCATAGCGGGTCACAACCGCTTATCTTCTAAGGGTAGTTATTAACGTTCTCACAAACTCTAAAAACGCATTTCTTCCTCTTAAAGAAAGCTCACAGAGCATTCTGATGTCTACAACTCAGTCCCTCGGTTTTAAGGGGGCTAGGATGGAACCCGGGAGCACCTGCCTGCTCAGGGACGCAAAGGCTCCTGCGCCCTCCCAGGGCATTCTGCAAGCCTCCCCCCAGTTCAGTTCTCCAAACCCAGGGGTGTGGGTGCGAGAGCATTGCGCAAGGGCACCACCAATGTTCCCTAATTCCGTTAAGTCTGGGAGAACCGCGCCTGCAGAGGACAAATAGGGAAGAGCCAGCAGCGCCTGCCACGGGACAGGACGGCAGTGTGACCATGAGTCTCAGTCTGTCCAGGGCCAGTGACTTCATCACTTCTTTCCCAGGGCGCTGATGACGAATCAAGTGACCCTCCCCGGCTGGACACTGGGGAGGAGGAGGAGGGTGCCCTGGCCACCCTGCACTGGCTTGTCTCTCAGAGCTGGGCGGGTCCGGGCTCCACCTCGCGCTGAGCCCCTCACACTTGGAGCCCCTCTTACCCACCGGAGCCGCTCAGGTGTAGGAAGGCGAGCTAAACTTCGCCGTGACAGCCCCAGGGACCAATCACAGCACGGGGCTCCCCCAGCCAGCCAATCGCAGAGCTCCTGGGCTGCCACGGCTCCGTAGCCCACCTGAACTTCATCCCCGGACTCTAGAATTCGGGCTGGGGTGCAGCAGCGATGCCGCGGGACCCCTGGGGAGGCTCGACGGAACGTTCTGGAGGGAAGGGGCCATCCAACAGGGAAGTCACTCACCAGCCCGGGAGCGAAGTCACTTGTCCCTGCGGGGCGACTCGGACTCGATCAGTGCGTGCCAGCATTCCGGCGACCAACCGCCGCCGCCGCAGTTCGTCGCCGAGCGCTGCCGCCTGTTTCGAAGGGGCCAATCGGGGCCGGGGATGGGTGTGGCCTGGAGCCCCGCCCCCAGGGGCTTCCTGCGGCGGGCTGGGTGGGTGAGGGCTGCGATCGCTGCTGGAAGGACAAGCAGACTGTAACAGAGCACCCCGCCGTCTGCCCGGTCAGCGACAGCCCCTGCTTATCTGTCCCCGCCACGCAGCAGAGTGCGCGAAGCCCGCCTCTCGACGCTGCTTCTGAGCGCCATGGAATGTTGCTCTACCCAGGAGTTGGAGCTGCTCCCAAACCCCAAAATCCGCTCACGTCCGGACGGGCGCTGAGGCTTCCAGAAATACAAGCCAACCCAGCAGGGACCGGTCCTAAGCAAGTCTTTTAGACAGAGAACCCCCTCCCCCGCCCTTACTCCGGGGTGAGAAAGATAGAGAGGGAGAGGAACCCGGCAGCCACCACTGGATGCCAAAGGAGGATGTTGGCCCTTCCTTCAGGAAACATGGGGGAAGGGGATTTGGATGTCAAAACAACAATGTAACCATGTGATTGTTACACTATAGCGACAGATGGGAGTTAACTTCAAAAGTGGCTCCCCCACACACACACACAATGTGGCTGAAAGCCTGCAGGTCTGTGTTCTGGCCCAGACCCTTAGGTTCCTGCCTCTTCCGTTTGTTAAGTCCTGACACCTTAGTGGTTCATCTCTCTCCCTCCCTCTCTGAAGTGTGGGCATTGCACAGAAGCGTAGTCTCTCACAAAAACAATACAGCACACTGTTGCTTTAATATGAAGCAAATGAAAACAGCCTGCGTCTTCAAAGTGTTGAGGAGCGTGGAAAAGGAAGTAATGGACAGCGATTTGGAAGTGGCTAGATCTTGAAGGAACAGCAAGCAGCTGTCAGGAGGCCATGGCAAGGAAGGAGCGCTTCCTAGGAAGAGGGAACAAGAAATGCAGAATTCGTGGTGGCATGTGAATGTTTTGGTAGTATTCATTTGGAATAACCAAAGTTTGGCGCTGGAGAGAAAGGGAGCTGTAGCAGCATTCTGAAGATTTGTTCACAGAAGGTAGGCTTGCCAAGGAATGTATGATCCCGGAGGCAGATGAGATGATTATAAGGAAGGAATGAAGGAATTTATCTCAACCCCCCCGCCGGGGGGCTTCATTTGCAAAAGCTTTTGAAGGGACTAGGATAGTTTGCTATTAAAAATGAATAAAACTAAGGATGACAACTCTCCAAACTAGCTGAGAAGGTGGGTGTGAAGGAAGTGTCTTGGAAGTACCTAAGAGGGTGATTTATGTGGCCTTGGTTGTGTGGTGGCACCGGACGCAGGAATACAGGTAAAACGAGCTGGTAGAGGACCAGTGTATTTTCGATGGGTGTGTTCAGTCTGCAGTGTGACACAAACATGGAAGAAGAGATGCTCCGATGGTAGCTGAATTGTCGAGAGCGACTTCAGTCCATCTCGGTGGAAGATAAGGGTTAGGGATCAGTTCATCAGCTACGGCACACTCGCATCGGGCTCTGCCCTAAGCGCCAGGGATCCTGCTCTCCCAGAATTCTGAATGAGTGGGAAAGGCAGTCATTAAAAATTGGCAAACACATGATAAATGGACTTGATGGTACCAGGTACCAGACTGGAGTTGTTTTTTTTTTTTTTTTTTTTTTTTTTTTTTTTTTTTTCTAATTGCAGTTCATCTCAGAACTCTTTGCTGACTACATAGAAATTCACAGTCTGTTAAAATCACCCCTGTGTTTCCCAATATTTACACTTAAAACTATGGAGCAACTTTCCTCATTTAGCCAGATTTTAAGTTCATACCTTAAATCAGATATCAAAATCTCTACGCTTCTATACAAATCCTTAAGGATAACTGTGGCTCAATTCCCACCACCCAAAAAAAAATTTTTTTTTTGGTTAATTAATAATAAGTAAATTACCCTGTGCAAACCTTGCTTAATGAGCTAAAGCTTAGCAATGGTTCTTTTTTTTTTTTTTTCTTACATGTATGCCTGTGCCTACATATTTGAATACTATTTATTTAAAACTGAAATTATGCTCAATGAGGAACAGAAACAAACACCCCCCCCATTACACACTGCTCTTACTGTTTGTAAGTCATTTACTGAATGAAGCCTTGCAACCTTTTATAGGACTGCTTTGTTTTTATTCTCTTGTTTAATTGAGTTACAAGGATGTAGGGCAGTGTTGTGGTTCCAAGTGTACCAGCGGCAGGAAACCTGTGTCAATCCCTCCTCTCTGCCTGTATTCTTCATCAGTTACATGGATTTGGGTGAGCAATCCCCCTCTAGATTCGTTGATTTCACTTTCTCCTCTCTCACATAAAGTTTCCCTCGTTTCATTCACAACTTCCATTCCTAATTACTACCCCATTCCCCAAGCACACTGACCAGCTTAGCCTACCTTGATTCTAACACTGTAATTAGTAATTGAGGGTTCCATCAAAGAAGCTATAATCTACTTTCTATGTGTAGGCTTTCTAATTGGTGGTTAGGTTAATAGCCATGTTTTACAGGATGTCTCTTTAATTGAAATTGGCATAGTTGTAACAAGAAAACACACACACACAATTTCTCTTCCATCAGATGCCAGTCTATCCATTCTGCCTTCCCAGTTTCAAAAGTATGTCCCACTTCAGGAAACATCATGTTTGGAAGCCTATGTTTCTAGAATGCACTACATTTAGGAGTTATTTGCCCCGTGTGTGTGTGTGTGTGTGTGTGTGTGTGTGTGTGTGAGATCCTCCAAAAATTTTGTTGTTGGAAAAGCCCTGTGGTTGATGTTCATTTGATTTTGAGTTAGTTTCCCAGACCTCTTGTTCTTTACTTCATGGTTTTGGAAATATTCTCTTCTATGTTTACAGGTGTTTCCTCTGCATGTGTGTATGTGTGAGGGTGTCAGATTTCCCCTGGAACTGGAGTTACAAACAGCTGTGAGGCACCATGTGGGTGCTGGGAATTGAACCCAGGTCCTCTGGAAAAACTGTGCTTTCTCTGTGCTCTTAACTACTGAGCCATCTCTCCAGCCCTTTGGAAACTGTTCTGAATGCTTTGGCATTGTTAAGTGCCTGCTATGGATTGTGCATTGTGTGAAGTGCTGAGTGAAATCCCTGGGCTTCTTGCCTTACAATTAAATCATACCTTCAGCAGGTGACCAACTGGGCTCCATCTACACTGAATACAATACCAATGTCTGCTACTATGAGAATGCTACTGTTGGGGAGGGGAGAGGCAGAAAAGGGTTGATTTCATCGCACTCATCACTGAGGGAAGTCAGGGCAGAAACTCGAGGTAGGAACCTGAAGGCAGGACCCGAAGCAGAGGCCATGGGGGTGTGCTGTTTGCTGGTTCACTCCCTATGCCTTCCTCAAATTAATAAGTATTATTAATAAGTATTTTGTATAAGTCATTAAAATATGACTGTTGTGGAATATGATTTTAATGCGTCATACTTGTTTATTTCGCAGGATATTACTTTAACTATGTAAAGGTGTGTTACATTTGTTTATGCTGAATTTGTTGCGTCCTCCCTGCCTCGGGCACCTGATTGGTCTTATCCGGAGCCAGTAGCTAGGCAGCGGGGCTGGCGGGCACAATAAATAGGGAGAGACCACTAGGCTTGAGCAGAGAGCAGAAAGGAGAGAACGGGGGGTGGGGGACACAAGAAGCAGTGGAAGTAAGATGTACAAAGTAAAGGGGAAAGTAGATTAATTAAAGTTAATTTAAGTTAAAAGACTTAGCCAAAAAAAAAAAAAAAATGCCTAAGCTAGGCTGAGCATTCAAAACTAATAATAAGTCTCCATGTCATGATTTGGGAGCTGATTGGTGGCCCAAAAGAAAAAGCCTGGTACATATGACTCTTACAATAACAATTGTTGTTAATATCTATGTAGTGGGGTAAGTATTGTGCACTCCAGTTCATGCCCACCTGGCCCTCAGAATATGACTTTACTTGGAACTAGGCTTTGCCCCAGATCTGATTAGTGTTCCTTATAATAGTCAGTCAGACAGACAGACAGACAGACAGACAGCCCCCTGCTTCCCCCCCCCCCAGCACACATACATGGTTGGAGTTATGCATTCACAAACTAAGGAATGCCAAAAGCCACTGTAAGAATCTGGGAGACTCAAGATTTTCTTGGAGCCTTGGCTCTGTTGAGGCCTTGATTTTAGATTTCTGGCCGTCAGAACTGTGAAAGAGCGAATGTCTGTTGTTTAAAGCAGCCAAACTTATGGTAATGCAGGAACTGCAGAAGACAATACCATCTATATCTGAGCAGAGATATAAAACTAACCACACAACAAGCACAGCGGCATGAAGATGCTCCCCCACGGCCCCCTGAGCCATCTCTAAGATGTCACAAATGTTAACAGGGGCTCATGGAAACATTATTTTCTCTGATTGGCTCACCATCCAAATATCATCAAGTTTCCATCGAATTTAGTTACAAGTGATAGAAAAAAAATCTTCAAACTCATTTTAGAAAAACTCAAAAAGTAAATGACTAATCTTACATTGTAGTGATATATTATTTATGATTTATTAGAGCTTACTTGAGGATTCAGAAAAGCAGTCAGCCACAAACCATAGAAGCCAGGAACACACCTTAAGCCCAGCAGCCAGAAGCTAGGAGGTGGTGGTACACACCTTTAATCCTAGGACTCAGGATTAAGAGGTAGCCCAATCTCTGTGAGTTCAAGACTACCCAGGTTTACACAAGATTGAATCAGTCTAAAATAGCAACAGAGCTCACAGCTTTAATCCCAAGATTCATGAGAGGTATTTAAGACAGGAACAGTATGAGGCATTTATTCTCCAGCCAAGCTGAGGAGAGGCAACAGTTTGAGACTTGGTGAAGAGCTGTGTGTGATCAGCCCTTTCAGCCTGAGCTAGAGGTGAGAGCTAGTGCCTGGCTGCTTTGCTTTCCTGATCTTCAGCTTGAACCCCAATATCTGTCTCTGGGTCTTTTATTAAGTCATGTAAAATTCTCTA